TATTATTTTGTAGCAGTGTTTTACTATAGGAATGCATTGCAAATAAGGAAAAAAGGGATTGTCAGTGGTCAGGAATGAATACAAGCATTACTAAATGAATAGGGCTATTATATGTAGAATTATTATTTTGTAGCAGTGTTTTACTATAGGAATGTATTGCAAATGAGGAAAAAAGGGATTGTCAGTGGTCAGGAATGAATGCAACCATTACTAAAAGAATAGGGCTATTATATGTAGAATTATTATTTTGTAGCAGTGTTTTACTATAGGAATGCATTGCAAATAAGGAAAAAAGGGATTGTCAGTGGTCAGGAATGAATATAAGCATTACTAAAAGAATAGGGCTATTATATGTAGAATTATTATTTTGTAGCAGTGTTTTACTATAGGAATGCATTGCAAATGAGGAAAAATGTATTGTCAGTGGTCAGGAATGAATGCAACCATTACTAAAAGAATAGGGCTATTATATGTAGAATTATTATTTTGTAGCAGTGTTTTACTATAGGAATGCATTGCAAATGAGGAAAAAAGTGATTGTCAGTGGTCAGGAATGAATGCAACCATTACTAAAAGAATAGGGCTATTATATGTAGAATTATTATTTTGTAGCAGTGTTTTACTATAGGAATGCATTGCAAATGAGGAAAAAAGGTATTGTCAGTGGTCAGGAATGAATGCAAGCATTACTAAAAGAATAGGGCTATTATATGTAGAATTATTATTTTGTAGCAGTGTTTTACTATAGGAATGCATTGCAAATGAGGAAAAAAGGGATTGTCAGTGGTCAGGAATGAATGCAAGCATTACTAAAAGAATAGGGCTATTATATGTAGAATTATTATTTTGTAGCAGTGTTTTTTACTATAGGAATGCATTGCAAATGAGGAAAAATGTATTGTCAGTGGTCAGGAATGAATGCAACCATTACTAAAAGAATAGGGCTATTATATGTAGAATTATTATTTTGTAGCAGTGTTTTACTATAGGAATGCATTGCAAATGAGGAAAAATGTATTGTCAGTGGTCAGGAATGAATGCAACCATTACTAAAAGAATAGGGCTATTATATGTAGAATTATTATTTTGTAGCAGTGTTTTACTATAAGAATGCATTGCAAATGAGGAAAAAAGGAATTGTCAGTGGTCAGGAATGAATGCAAGCATTACTAAAAGAACAGGGCTATTATATGTAGAATTATTATTTTGTAGCAGTGTTTTACTATAAGAATGCATTGCAAATGAGGAAAAAAGGGATTGTCAGTGGTCAGGAATGAATGCAAGCATTACTAAAAGAATAGGGCTATTATATGTAGAATTATTATTTTGTAGCAGTGTTTTACTATAGGAATGCATTGCAAATAAGGAAAAAAGGGATTGTCAGTGGTCAGGAATGAATACAAGCATTACTAAATGAATAGGGCTATTATATGTAGAATTATTATTTTGTAGCAGTGTTTTACTATAGGAATGCATTGCAAATGAGCAAAAAAGGGATTGTCAGTGGTCAGGAATGAATACAAGCATTACTAAAAGAATAGGGCTATTATATGTAGAATTATTATTTTGTAGCAGTGTTTTACTATAGGAATGCATTGCAAATGAGGAAAAAAGGTATTGTCAGTGGTCAGGAATGAATGCAACCATTACTAAAAGAATAGGGCTATTATATGTAGAATTATTATTTTGTAGCAGTGTTTTACTATAGGAATGCATTGCAAATGAGCAAAAAAGGGATTGTCAGTGGTCAGGAATGAATACAAGCATTACTAAATGAATAGGGCTATTATATGTAGAATTATTATTTTGTAGCAGTGTTTTACTATAGGAATGCATTGCAAATGAGGAAAAAAGGTATTGTCAGTGGTCAGGAATGAATGCAACCATTACTAAAAGAATAGGGCTATTATATGTAGAATTATTATTTTGTAGCAGTGTTTTACTATAGGAATGCATTGCAAATGAGGAAAAAAGTGATTGTCAGTGGACAGGAATGAATACAAGCATTACTAAAAGAATAGGGCTATTATATGTAGAATTATTATTTTGTAGCAGTGTTTTACTATAGGAATGCATTGCAAATAAGGAAAAAAGGGATTGTCAGTGGTCAGGAATGAATACAAGCATTACTAAAAGAATAGGGCTATTATATGTAGAATTATTATTTTGTAGCAGTGTTTTACTATAGGAATGCATTGCAAATGAGGAAAAAAGTGATTGTCAGTGGTCAGATATTAATGCGAACATTACTGATTCACTGTTGATGTCCTAACTACCATTACTTATAGAATCACTGCAACACTGGTCAGCAAACACATCTCATGGATCATAGCATTACATATTTTGTAGCCCTCTGACAAGGTATGGTACAAATGATTGCTGGTCAAGCTCTGTAACTGTGAAATTACAGAAGAGTCTTTTCCATAATAAAATCATTCCTAAATGTGTATGTTCCTGAAGATAGTTGTTAATGTCCAATCCTCCTGGGCACTAGCAATCAATGCCAGCATCCTACAGGGGTTTTTTCTCAGTGCAACTCTCTTTCTACTTTACATAAATGATCTACCTAAGAGTATACTGCTGCCATTTGTGAAGATCTATGCTGATGATACAACAGTATATCAGTGCACCAACAATACTCTAGATGACGTGAGTATTGTAACTGATGTTACCTTTGATCAAACTCTAATGGCTCAGTGGTTGGAAAAATTGGCAGGTTACCTTCAATGCTTTGAAAACCAAACTGGTTACATTCCATAATCATTGACTGAACTCTGAACTACCACCTATCACAATGAATGGATATTCCCTCTGGGTGACTCCTTGTGCCTTGAGCAACTATTGGGCCTAAACGCTTGACCAATACCTCAAGTGGAACTCGTACGTACAAGCCATTGCTATAGAGACAGGGAAAATGGTCAGTTCTGTGTATTGCTCCTCTAAGTACCTGATTCTACATGCTATCTTCTAACTTTACAAAAGCCAAATCAAATCTAAAATGGAGTACTGCTGTTATATTTGAGCAGGAGCTGACCATGTCTCACCTTCTAGCCTTGATAGTCCTAAAGCATCTCCATGTCAATTGTGGATGACAAATTATTTTCCACCCTTCAACCCCCTCTGCTATAGACAAAATGTTGCGAGCCTCTCACTGCTCTATTGCTACTTCCATGGAAAATCCTATGACAAACTACATTTCTTAGTTCCTCCAGTTCTAACGTTCACTGCTTCAGACCCCACCATGCTATGCAGATTGTAGTAAAACATTCAATCCCTCCATGTTTCATCAGTGTAATGTAAGTTCCAATCGAGCAGCTTTGCTCCACAGACCACTGCGCTCTGTAAGACTGACTCTCAAGAGAATGCTTTCCCAATCACTGCAATTTGAAACTGTTCAAATCTAGGGTGAGCCATTATCTTCCCTACATATCCACATACACTGTGCCTCTTACTCTGTAACCCTCTACCTCGAGTGGTTCCAGGGCCTTGTACATGGTGAACTTCATAGTAAAAAAATATGTTAATAGCAACCCATCAGTGTTAATAATGTTTCCTTTTTTTTCTTTCTTTATCTCATTCAAATCACACTCAGTCTAACACAAGTTCAAATGTAATGATATGAGGAGACATAAGATTGTTATGCATTCATTGTCCACCTGGGGGGAGACTCTAATGAGATAAAAAAAATAAATATCCCCTCTTTTATCAGGGTTCTAACCCTAACCCTTGACATGGGTGGCAGATACCCAATTATTTAACCCATGAAATATTCATTGTGATATTGAAGTTTGCACAAGATAAAAATAAGTATAAATATTGACTAAACAATTTTGGCGCAAGGATAAAAAAATGAGCCACTTAGTGAGAATACTCAGTAGTAATGCTCAGCTTGCTAACCATTAAACCCCAATGAGGTATGTAGGGGAAAATGAGTGTTAGAAGATTTTGTTAATATTATAAGTGAAGAAGTGTATGTTGAAAATCAGCATTTGAAATGCTGGATTTCATCTGAGATTGAAAACAAACCTATATAACACTATTTACATTATTCAGACTATTGCCTCATCTTTGTCGCCATATTTATTACAATGTTTCAGCCTTTGTATGCTTCGGCCTTCTTCAGGTGGTTGGAATGTAAATAGTGTACATAATACCTCATCTCAGAAATATAGACAGATACAAACCTATAGAACTAGTCAAATGCAACTCAATCAATAAAGCAAACAGGATTTAAAAATTTTTGTAATTAATTATTTTGGTAACTAATGAAAGTTTCTTTTATCTTTCATACTAAATTGCTGACATTTGAGAGTGTTTCAATTTAATAGGAGCATTAAACTAGATTAACTTAAACTGAATATTTGACAGAAAAAAGAAATATGAAACCTGTTTTTTATCTTAGTTATGTTAAAATGTTAACATTATTGGAATAAATGAAGAGAAGCAAACCCTCTCTTCACTTCAATTTTACAGAAATTACACAAGAGACATAATTCATTAGATTAATTGAACAGGCTTTCTTGTCAATGGCAATATTAAAAATAGTCTTTATAACTCCTCAAAATGAAAAGCATTGTTTCAAAATAGGTTCTGAATCATTAAATAGAAAATAAACCAATTAGTTTCGATTAATTCTTCTTCATTGTTCCCTTGTGTCTGGCAAAGTACGGTTTACACTAAATTATAGAGAATTTTCATTTTCTTGTTTATTGGTTTCTAATGTCTGAATAAACGTGAATGCATTCAACATACAATGATGGACTCTCCTGTCCATCTTTTGATTTAGAAAAGCCAAACAGTTTAGATTTTTGTTTTTTTTTAGAAGTGTACTATCAAACTACCAACACATGATTTGATCATCATGATGAAAGCTTGTGTAGAACCAGACACACATTTCAGAAAGGCTAACAAAGAAATGGTGTACAATGTGCCAAAGAGTCTCCAGACAGATGCTCTCACTTTTGAACTCAGAGTTTTTCTTCTAGACTGGTTGCCGCTAATGACTATATCACAATGAAACACCAGTTCTCATATGATCACTGAAGTTAAGCAACATTGAGCCTGGTCAGTACCTAGATGGGTGAACAATTGGGAATGCCACAGGTGCTGTAAGTTTGGATGTGCATGCGGTGTAATGGATGATGGCTTGGAATTGGAAATCACAGAGCCAAGTTCCAATTCCAGTCTGTTTCATTATATTCACTTATGTGCAAATACCCTTGTGAAATGTACGAAACCACCTCTTCTCTCCCCAGCTATGGGTTAATTAGCAGCACTTGTATCAGTAAATAATTATTATCTTCCAAAAATTTCTTACAAACTAAAAACTTTTCTGATTTTAAATAACATTGATTAGCCAAAAACAAAAACATCAGTTAATCATTAGAATGGTTTTCAACATTTTGTTTAACCCATAGGATTCCACATATAATAAGATTCACTAAAGAAACTTGGCTATATTGAGGCAGTGGTTGGTCAAACACATAAAGTTTAATTGTTTTGATTGTTTACAGGCATGGATTTTAACATATACAGCTTGATTATATTTTATGATAAGAATTGATTAACCAAGAATTTGTTATGCAGGTTTCTTTAAATTATATAATGTTGCTCTGTAGATTTTGACATTGGGCACTTTGTGTGTTTATTTTTGTAGAACAAAAAAGAACAATAAAAGGACAGGAATTAAGAAGACAAAGATAGTGTTTGATGTTGCATTTAGATTTTTGAAGATCAAAGTTTACTGGAAAGCAAGAAGCAGGAAGAGAGTTCCACAAGTGAGAAGTGTGAGAAAAGAAACTGTTAGCATAGAACTTACAGTTACATTTAACCATTTCAAATATAAAATGATGAAACCTTGCCACCAATCTAGTGTTGTGCTTAAATTCATAAAGTCTGGGTACCATAGAGGAAAGTTCATCAGAACAATTACCATGAAAATATTCATAGGAAAGGCACAGGAAAGCTATGTTGCATTGATGGGAAAGAGATGCCAGGTCAGGATCAATAACATTGCAGATTTTTCTTTCTATTTTATCAAAAAACTCTAAATACACACCTATGTACAGGGTGTGGCTGAAATGCCTCCCACATAATACTCCCAGAAATACCCACAACCTAATGGTAAGATATTAGCTATATGACAACACCATTTCTACTAATGTCATACCATTATGTGGGAGGTTTTTCGAGAATATATATGCAGGATTATATATATATATATATATATATATATATACACATATGTATTTTAAGACATTTTATGTTTTTGCATTCTTTTTATAGATACAAATATTTAAGTAAATGCTCTGTTTATAATAAACAGTATTAACAACATTTACCGGCCTGAATGTTCGAAAAATTTTCATAGAAAATATTCGTCCTCCAACAGGAATCGAACCTGTATCCTATACAGAACCATCATATAGCCTGACATGCTTTAACTGATTGGGCCACAGAGGATCATTCGGTTAGCAAGGTCGATTTTACTGCTTTTAAACTACAATTTTTGTGATTTTCTCAGATCCATTCATATCTGTTCAATGCGTATCCAAATGTAAACAAATGACATCACACATTATGAAATGGACAAAGTCTGACAATTATTTTAAGACAGTATTTTAACGCATGATCAACAATCTGAACAAGGCCAGCACACTCAAACCCTCAGTCACGATGACTTGTGACTTCATACTAGCACAGCTATCGACGACCCCCAAGTGTTCCTTCTACTCAATTTCACTCACAAGCCTTGGGCCAACCCATGGGATGGTTTTCAGGCACTTTCCAAAGGTGCTGCATGCTGGGATCACCGCCTTCAGACCAATGACATCAAGAAGTCTCCTTCCTCACAAATCAATCATGGTGAGATTCAAACCTGGGTCCCATATATATATATATTAATGTATATTTGGGAAGCAAACTTTCTTTCAAACATCTTTCATTAAATATGACAGACAAGGAAGATTTAATCAATTTATTTTCCCTAAGTTTTCCCAGAGTCCTTAATGTTTTGGTGTTTTGTAAGTGAAACAGAGTACAAACATTTTCCATAATTTTTATAGTGCCAAGCACTTTTGGCCACTTCTATAGCCATTTTCAAATTTTGTCTCTGGTGCTGTTATTTTTTCTTCATGTTTTGTTTGTTACATTGTAATTTATTTTTGTATTGTTTTGAATAGAAGCATTCATTCTGAGCTTTAACATGTTGCACATGGCTAGAATTTTGTGAGAGCATCTTTCGATCTTTAAAAAAAATTTAACACTCCATTTCCACTGTTAAATAATGTGAGGTTGATAGTAGGAGAGAAATGTTTGATATATAAGAGCATCTCTAATAGTGGGGATGCTTCTGATTTATCTAGAATTATACTGTTTACGACTAGAATTTTTCTTAAAGGTTCTTGTAAATTATGGGTTGCTAGATGTTTTTTTTATAGAACTTTGGTCTGATAAGCAACACGTGAGACGTCTAATCAAGGAGGTAGTAGTATGTCCAATATAGGTAATTGATTTGTGACAAGAAACACAGATTTTTACAGGGCAGTTAAATTGATACACTATAATGGTCATTTCTAGTTTAGATTTGATAGGGTTATTTTGATTAATGACAAAAAGGTTTGCAGTCTGCCATTTTCTGTAATATATTATAAATTTTAAATGTTTTTTTGGATTACAGCATATATATATATATATATATATATATATATATAGGAGGCGTGGTGGAGTAGTGAATACTAGCTTGAATTGAGGAATCGAAGAGCTGAGTTTGAATGCCAGTCGAATGCATTACATTCACTTATGTGCTGATACCCATGGGAAAGGTATTAATCCTCCCTCCAGCTATGGGTAAATAGCAGGACAGACTGGGTTCTATAGCCTTTGATGGCAACTGGTCTAGCAGAAGAACATATCTGAATTCAAAACCTGCAGAGGGTCATTTGGGGAACTTGTGCACATAGTGCACCAGGTCTCTGTATTCAGCTCTTCAAAAAGTGTGGTTGGTTCTGCACAAAGCCTTCACCCCTATAATCAAATCATATGTGCTGGTGTCTGGCTGTCGGTTCATAGGAACTAAGCTGCTTGACCCTCATATGTTGAATACAACAGGAGAGTCCACCATAAATATATATATATGTGTGTGTGTGAATATATATATATATATATATGCAAACACACACATGTGTGTGTAACATTTATCAGTGAAGAAAACAGAATTGATGAGTTTTCCTTCTCCTAGATTGGTGCCCAGTCAGGCCTGCTATTTAAACTATAAATGGAGGAAAAGAGATTCATGCATTTTTCAAGGGAATTAGTGATTATGTCAAGTAAAAGCTGTTTATTCCTTCTGACTGAAAAGAAAAATATCTGAATATTTTGTCTCAGCCTCTGAAATCTATTTCAAGTATATCCATCAATTTGCCTTAAGGTTTAAAAAGAAAATGTCTGAATAATTTATCTCCAAATCTCTGTATATATATATATATATATATATATATATATATATATATATATATATATATATATGTATATTTCTGCATATATATAGGGATGTACAGAAGCAGAAATGTATATTATCTGCAATAATCATTGCAAATCACTTGCAGGATTCAAAAACCAGTCATTCTCCCAAGAACCCTAAACATTGACCAAATTTGTCAGTGATGGTCAATATATTTTTATAGTAAAACTACCAGAAGTAATACATTTAAAAAAATATTACCAGTAATACATTTAAAAGAAAATATTACAGAGTAATACATATAAAATATATTACCAGCAATATATTTAAAAAATATATTATCAGTAATAAATTTTAAAAAATATTACCACTAATATATTTTAAAAAATATTACCAGTAATACATTTAAAAAAAAAATATTACCAGTAATATATTTAAAAAAATATTACCAACAATATATTTTTTAAAAAATTACCAGTAACATATTTTAAAAAATATTACCAATAATAAATGAAAAATATTATCAGTAATACATTAAAAAAATAACACCAACAATATGCTTAAAAAATGTCATCAGTAATAAATTTAAAAAAATTACCAGTAATACACTTAAAAAAATTATCAGTAATACATTTCAAAATAATTACCAGTAATACATTTAAAATATATTACCAGTGATACATTTTAAAAAAATATTACCAGAAACACATTGAAAAATATTACCACCAATACATTAAAATAATATTACCATTAATACATTTAAAAAAATATTACGAGTAATATATTTAAAAAATATTACCAGCAATACATTTTTTTAAAATTACCAGTAACATATTTAAAAAATATTACCAATAATAAATTAAAAAATATTATCTGTAATACATTAAAAAATAACACCAACAATATGTTTAAAAATATTACCAGTAATACATTTAAAAAACATTACCAGTAATACATTAAAAATATATTACCAGTAATACATTTCAAAATAATTATCAGTAATACATTTAAAATATATTACCAGTGATACATTTAAAAAAAATATTACCAGAAATAGATTAAAAAATATTACCATCAATACATTAAAATAATATTACCAGTAATACATTTAAAAAAATATTACCAGCAATACATTTAAAAAGTATTACCAGTAATACATTTAAAAAAAATTACCAGCAATACATTTGAAAAAAATTACCACTAATTCATTTCAAAACAATTACCAGTAATAAATTTAAAATATATTACCGGTGATACGTTTAAAAAAATATTACCAGCAGTACATTTTTTTAAAATTATCAGTATTACATTAAAAATACATTTTAAAAAATACATTTTAAAAAAATTATCATTATTATATTTAAAAAAATATTACCAGCAATACATTTCTGTAAGGAAAAAAAAAGATTTTACATATTTCAGTTCCTAAGAGAAATGAAACTGATTTCAAAAATATACTAAAAAACTTAACCATAAAAAACAGGAGTCTTACAGTTTAAAATAAAATTTTAAATTTCTGCATTAAATGTTCAAATTGGTTGAAATCTCATAAAACAAACCAGACCAAATCGACCCCATAATTTATAAGTTTCAGATATTTTTAACTAACATAATCCATATTTATTTTAAATTTTCTATCATAATATTTCA